GTAGTGGTGGTGTTGGAGTGAAGACTGGCAGTGCTGCAGAAGAAGTCAGGTAATTTAGAGTAAAATGTCTGGCAACGAGTGAAAGTGATTTTGGAAGTTCTGGAAAATCGTCAGGATGAGCAAAAATATCATGAAAAAGAAGAAACTTCTTGAAAATATAAGGAAATTTTCTTGAATATAAGAGGAAATGTTCTTGGAAAGGTTGATTCATGGTAAGACAGGCGCCTGTGTGTTTGGGATTCACTGAAGAACGCACAGTGCCACGGAAGCAAGGCACGCACAGTGCCACGGAAGCAAGGCACGCACAGTGTCACGGAAGCAAGACACGCACAGTGAGACGGAAGCAAGACACGCACAGTGCCACGGAAGCAAGGCACGCACAGTGCCACGGAAGCAGGACCATATTGGAGGCTGGGAGTTGGTAAGTTATAATGCTGATAACAAGAGGCACTGAGGGAACCAGCTTCATCACAGTGCCAGATGAAGGTAATGAGAGTCAGCCTCATCACAGTGTCAGGTGGAGGTACTGAGTAAGCCAGCCTCACCACAGTGCCAGGAGGCGACTCCATATATGTCAGGAAGGATTTGTTCTATTGGCGCAACAAGGGAGTGGTGAGGAGGAGGAGGAAGAAGGGAGGGAAGGAAGAAGGAGGGAAAGAAGGGAAGGAGAAAGAAATAGAATTAGGAAAAGACAGGGAAGGAATGGAGGAAGAGTATACGGCGGTAAGCAATCTTTGCCTCGTGCCTTCAGAATCAACTAAGAAATGGGATGGTACTCCCTGGCGAGCTGTGTTTGGTGTTACGTAGTTCCCTTGACATAAGAGCAAGGTATGTCCCACGTCTACCCACTGTTAAACAGGATCTACTTCACACACCATCGGCTACATTAAAACCAGTCTGTGTATGACGTGGCAAATGTGGGTACAAAATCTAGTGAAAACAAGTCTTTTTTTTTTTTAGCTGACATTTTTGTAAAAATCTGATTTTTGGATCAACACACCATGAACTTTCAGGGCCAAACCATGTCAACACAGCGTGAGAAATTCCCATCCCTCATTGTATGGATAGTTTCTGTACCGGTGATTATGGGTTAAGAGATGTATTTAAGTACAGTATAACAATGTGTTGAGTGGTAGCGTTTATATACACAAGTCTGGTAACAATACCAATGCATTTGCTACATTGTTCTACCTCTTGACCAGAGTGATCTCTGATACTGTGGGCCGACGCCCGACCCAAGAAGCAAGCTTCGCCCCATCTCTCTCACCACGGAATCAAGTTCGGGTTGCTGCTGCTGTGTCCTCTCACAGCAACATGCAGACCGTTGTATCCATCGTGGATAAAGCGTTACGTTAAGTTATGTATATGTCCGGATAGTCTTGACACGGGTCTTAATCAGATAACTCGTCACTGGCTCCTGATGGAACATCGGTGTGTACAAGTGATCTGCATGACTGGTAACTTTTATGGCCTTCTTGGACCCGGCCCATCATATTTTAGGGGAAGGAGGTTTGCAGTTACGTAGTTGAGTCGTCTTCAGTTCAGGTGGTGCAACAGCAGCCAGCTATAATCTTCATCGACGTCCTTAAGGCGGGTGTACAGGACCTCTTCTCCGTACAAGTGTTGGAACACTAAGCTAGAGTGGTCTCCTGGGCCAACCTGGCTAAGTCGCACCCAAATGGGGCTCGAAGAGTGCTGGGCTGGGTGTCTGGTGTTCACGATGGTACCTCACTATCACGTGTTCTGGGAGACGTGTCTGAAGACACGTCTGTCGTCAGTGGTGCCAGTATCAGGAGATTTTTCCTGACAAATGAACCAATAATAATAACTTATCTGCTGTGATGGAGACGGAATTGGTTACATTGGTCAGGGAAAATGTATTCCAGACGCTGGCCTTAGTCATGATGAGTCGCTCACTAGAATTTCAGGTCACGCTACCCATTTTAATACGTCAATGTCTGACGTTCAATGTCAGTTAGTCCTCGTTTTTTAATTATTTTCGGAATTATATTTACTTTATTGGAAGTTAGATTTAAGCTAATTTTCGTTAGAATAGATAACGTAAATATTTTATAAAAAGGTATATTTAACTACAAATAAGCAAAATAGAAAACAGTCATACGTCTGACAGCTCGGTGGTCGGGGAATAATAGGAAGCTGGAATGGTTGACGCATATCATTGTTGAAGCGAGAGTGAGCTAGCTCACCGCAAGCAGAGGTCGTCTACTAGCTAACAGAGTTTGTGTTGTAGTTTGAAGGACTTAAACTCTCACTCTAGAGATTTGTCTTTTAATAGTCTCGCCTTGTCTGGTATATGCTACCCTAACAAGTTCTTCCTAACCATCAATGATCTTTGACTTGCTTTATTCCACATTCGAGTCACGAGCGATTCTTTCGATGTATTCGGAAAGATGTGTACTGCAAGCATAGTGACACTTATCTGCGTTTCAAGAATAGTTGCTGTTGATAAGCTCACACCTAATAAGTTGCATACAAAGGGCGTTTGTGTTTGTACAAGAGGACCAGGAGCGTCGACTGCCACAAACCGAGGATACTACGAGACACTGAAGAAATAGTAAACTTCTTGAAAGGACTTAACATATTATAAATATTGAGAAACGCTTAAGCGGAGGTTAAATATGATCTTTAGTCGGTGGGATAGAGGAAGATTTAAGAATGATATAAAAACTGTAGTAAGTGCTGAAGACAGCTCTGAAAATAAAAGCTGAAGCAGTATTTTTTAAGTTTACAAAAAAATAAAATAATAATGCCGTAAAGAAACGAAAGGCCAACCTCCACCATCTTGCTTATTATGTTCCTCCTTCACTAAGCCTCTGCAACGAAACAGAATGTTCCTTGAGGGTACGTAAGCTTGTACTGTTTGGCCACTTCTCGGAAAATCTTGCACCGGAGACGCTCAGGTGAATTGACCCAGAATTTGATGGCAAGTAGAGTGACCTGGACGAGAGCTTCAGTGAGCCGGCCAAGCTGCTCCTGGGAGAAAGGGCGAGCGTCGAAGGGTTTACGACCCTCAGTAACCTTAGTAGCAGCCACGGAAATCTAGTCACTAGTGAAGCAAGTTATTTGTAAAATTATCGATGGGATCGATATTGTGGCCCAACCACAACGTTTGATGCATTACCTTAAAACTTTTACCTTGCACTTATTCTGTGTCACATCTCTTCTTTGCCCTCTCCTCTATCTCCCCTTCCCTACCTTCCCATCGCTCTCTCCCTCCTCCCTTCCCTTTCTACACTTGGTACAAAGACGTGGAGCTTTGTTGGTGCTCGTACCGTGTCGAGGTCCTGAGTAATGAACGAGCGGATGCTGAGACGAAGGCTGCAACTTAGCTTGCTTTATGACAGACTTCTGAGTCATGGGCCATAAACAGTATGTAGATAAAGTTATACAGGAATTGGCAGGACATATATGTGGAACTTCCTTCACTTCGATAAGGTTCATTACAAACTGAGAATCAGCCACCCTGACTCGCCTGCTTGCAGTTGCTCCTCTGTATGTCATCTCGCTTGCCCCGGTCTCTGGAAAAGTTCAACTTTTTGCCCACAAATTCAGCATTTTCGCTTAATACTTGTAGAGATTTCACGGAGCTTTTGGGATTGCCTTATTGACACTGACAATTTGATTCCTTATTTTTAACTGAAGCTTCTTAATACCACTTGGTGTGGTAGTATTTGTGGTGTCCACCTTGTTTTATTTTGGTTACATAGTTTTATCTTGGGTATTTGTGTGTGTTTTATATTTATATTTTATTGTCGAGTGCTGAGTGATCTAACAGACCAGTGTTCCCTTAGTCACTCAGGTTCCTTCATACCCCATTTCCTTCTTTCCCTCTTCTCCCCTTCAGCAGAGAAGGATAGACTTAATATAAGTAAATCTTGTGGGTATTGGAATATCCTGAAGATGGCAGCATCTCCTGACACGCCAACAGTATGGTATGGCGCAGGCACGCCTTCCCTGCTGCAGGTGAGTGCTGTGAAATATGTGGTGTTCAAGAGTGTTGACTCTGTATTTTTCCCCTACCCTACAGACCCTGGCGACATGTTCGTGAGCGAGGGCGGAGGGCCGCCCCTAGCGGGCGTGGTGATGCAGCAGGCGTACCCAGGAGGACCCATGTTCACTATCCCCGTCCACTGGACGCCCTTCATCGACCCCGCCCTCATTCCTGGGGAGACCGCCCTCACGCCCCTCGACCCCGCCTTCACCCACGTCATCGACCCCAAGTCTCTGCCCATCGACCCAGTACACATTCTTCCCGTCCAGCACGATGCCACAGGCTGCCCCGTCCAGGTTCAGGTGAGGGAGGAGAACCTCGCAGCTCAGGTGAGGCAGGTCCTGGCGCTCCAGTGAGGCAGATCCTGATGCTCAGGTGAGGGAGGTCCAAGCACTCAGGTGAGGCAGGTCCTGGTGCTCAGGTGAGGCAGGTCCTGGTGCTCAGGTGAGGCAGGTCCTGGCACTCAGGTGAGGCAGGTCCTGGTGCTCAGGTGAGGCAGGTCCTGGCGCTCAGGTGAGGCAGGTCCTGGCACTCAGGTGAGGCAAGTCCTGGTGCTCAGGTGAGGCAGGTCCTGGCACTGAGGTGAGGCAGGTCCTGGCACTCTCTGCATCTTATAGGCTGCAGTGCAAAATCACCCTAGATTTACCCTGACAGTCTGAGGGGACTCCGTCCCACCTCTTGTAGGCTCCAGACAGACTGGGATCCCCTGGGACTGTGGCGCCTTATCTTGGTGGCTAGTAAAACTAAACCAAACACACACACACACACACACACACACACAATCACACACAATCACACACAATCACACACACAATCACACACACACAATCACAATCACACACACAATCACACAATCATACACACAATCACACAGTCAATCACAGACACAAACACACAAACACACAACACACACACACAAACACACACAAACACACGCACACACACACCCACACACACACACACACACACACACACACACACACACACACACACACACACACACACACACACACACAACACACACACACACACACACACACACAGTCACCGCAGACGGAGTACATTCTTGGGGGCCAGAGACTACAGACCTCTCTCGAGCAAAAAGATCTTGGGGTGAGTATAACACCAGGCATATCTGAAGCGCACATCAACCAAATAAATGCTGCAGCATATGGGCGCCTAGCAAATCTCAGAACAGCATTCCGACATCTTAATAAGGAATCGTTCAGGACCCTGTATATTGTGTACTTTAGGCCCATATTGGAGTATGCAGCACCAGTTTGGAACCCACACCTAGCCAAGCACGTAAGGAAACTAGAGAAAGTGCAAAGGTTTGCAACTAGACTGGTCCCGGAGCTAATGGGTATGTCCTACGAGGAGAGGTTAAAGGAAGTCGACCTGACGATACTAGAGGACAGGAGAGATAGGAGGGATATGATAACGACATACAAAATACTGAGAGGAATCGACAAAGTGAACAGAGACAGGGTGTTCCAGAGATGGGACACAGCAACGAGGGGTCACAGTTGGAAGTTGAAGACTCAAATGAATTACAGGCATGTTAGGGAGTATTTCTTCAGTCACAGAGTTGTTGGGAAGTGGAATCGTCTGAGAACTGATGTAGTGGAGGCAGGATCCATACATAGCTTTAAGAAGAAGTGCGATAAAGCTCGTGAATTGGGAAGAGTGGCCTAGTAGCGGCCAGCGAAGAGGCGGGGCTAGGAGCTGTGACTCGACCCCTGCAACCACAACTAAGCGCGCACACACACGCACACACACACACGAATGGGAGAACTTGGAGCCACATGGGGGCCAAGATACATGGAGGGCTAAAATGATGGAGGTGGTACTGGAAAACTTCATGTACCAACACGTAAGGGACACTACAAGAGAGAGAGGAGAGGATGAACCAGCAAGACTGGACTTAGTATTCACCTTGAGTAGTGCAAATATTGAGGACATCACATATGAAAGACCCCTTGGGGCCAGCGATCATGTGGTTTTGAGCTTCGAATACACAGTAGAGCTACAAGTGGAGGGGGAAGCAGGAAGGCCAGGACAAATGAAACCAAACTACAGGAAAGGGGACTATACAGGAATGAGGAACTTCCTGAATGAGGTTCAGTGGGACAGAGAACTGGCAGGGAAGCCACTTAATGAGATGATGGAATATGTAGCAACAATGTGCAAGGAGGCTGAGGAGAGGTTTGTACCCAAGGGTAACAGGAATAATGGAAAAGCCAGGATGAGCCCATGGTTCACCCAAAGATGCAAGGAGGCAAAAACCAAGTGTGCTAGGGAATGGAAGAAATATAGAAGGCAAAGGACCAGGAGAATAAGGAGAGCAGTCGTAGAGCCAGAAACGAATATGCACAGATAAGAAGGGAGGCCCAACGTCAATATGAAAACGTCATAGCAGCAAAAGCCAAATCTGACCCGAAGCTGTTATACAGCCACATCAGGAAGAAAACAACCGTCAAGGACCAGGTCATCAGGCTAAGGAAGGAAGGAGGAGAGACAAGAAATGACCGTGAAGTATGTGAGGAACTCAACAAGAGATTCAAAGAAGTGTTCACAGAGGAGACAGAAGGGGCTCCAGAAAGACGGAGAGATGGGGTACACCACCATGTGCTGGACACAGTACACACAACCGAGGAAGAAGCGAAGAGGCTTCTGAGTGAGATAGATACCTCAAAGGCAATGGGGCCAGATAACATCTCTCCATGGGTCCTGAGAGAGGGAGCAGAGGCGCTATGTGTACCCCTAACAACAATATTCAATACATCTATCGAAACAGGGAGATTGCCTGAGGCATGGAAGACAGCAAATGTGGTCCCAATCTTTAAAAAAGGAGACAGACATCAAGCACTAAACTACAGACCAGTGTCACTGACATATATAGCATGCAAAACCATGGAAAAGATTGTCAGGAGAAGAATGGTGGAACATCTAGAAAGGAATGATCTCATCACCAGCAGCCAACATGGTTTCAGAGACGGGAAATCCTGTGTCACAAACCTACTGGAGTTCTATGACATGGTGACAGCAGTAAGACAAGAGAGAGAGAGGGGTGGGTGGATTGCATTTTCTTGGACTGCAAGAAGGCGTTTGACACAGTACCACACAAGAGATTAGTGCAAAAACTGGAGGACCAAGCAGGGATAACAGGGAAGGCACTGCAATGGATCAGGGAATACTTGTCAGGAAGACAGCAGCGAGTAATGGTACGTGGCGAGGTGTCAGAGTGGGCACCTGTGACCAACGGGGTCCCACAGGGGTCAGTCCTAGGACCAGTGCTGTTTCTGGTATTTGTGAACGACATGACGGAAGGAATAAACTCCGAGGTGTCCCTGTTTGCAGATGACGTGAAGTTGATGAGAAGAGTTCATTCGATCGAAGACCAGGCAGAAATACAAAGGGATCTGGACAGGCTGCAGACCTGGTCCAGCAACTGGCTCCTGGAGTTCAATCCCACCAAGTGCAAAGTCATGAGGGGTTGGGGAAGGGCAAAGAAGACCGCAGACGGAGTACAATCTAGGGGGCCAGAGACTACAAACATCACTCAAGGAAAAAGATCTTGGGGTGAGTATAACACCAGGCACATCTCCTGAAGCGCACATCAACCAAATAACTGCTGCAGCATATGGGCGCCTGGCAAACCTCAGAACAGCATTCCGACATCTTAATAAGGAATCGTTCAGGACCCTGTACACCGTGTACGTTAGGCCCATATTGGAGTATGCGGCACCAGTTTGGAACCCACACCTAGCCAAGCATGTAAAGAAACTAGAGAAAGTGCAAAGGTTTGCAACAAGACTAGTCCCAGAGTTAAGAGGTATATCCTATGAGGAGAGCTTAAGGGAAATCAATCTGACGACACTGGAGGACAGGAGAGATAGGAGGGACATGATAACGACTTACAAAATACTGAGAGGAATTGACAAGGTGGACAAAGACAGGATGTTCCAGAGACTGGACACAGTTGGAAGCTGAAGACACAGATGAATCAAAGGGATGTTAGGAAGTATTTCTTCAGCCACAGAGTAGTCAGGAAGCGGAATAGTTTGGGAAGCGATGTAGGGGAGGCAGGATCCATACATAGCTTTAAGCAGAGGTACGATAAAGCTTATGGTTCAGGGAGAGTGACCTAGTAGCGACCAGTGAAGAGGCGGGGCCAGGAGCTTGGACTCGACCCCTGCAACCTCAACTAGGTGAGTACAACTAGGTGAGTGTACACACACCCTCACACCCACTCTCACACACACACCCTCACACACACACCCTTACACACACACCCTTACACACACACCCTTACACACACACCCTTACACACACACCCTTACACACACACCCTTACACACACCTCACACACAACACCCTTTATACACACACCCTCACACACACACACTCACACACACCCTCACACACACACCCTCACACACACACCCTCACACACACACCATCACACACACACCCTCACACACACACCCTCACACACACACCCTCACACACACACCCTCACACACACACCCTCACACACACACCCTCAAACACACACCCTCACACACACACACCCTCACACACACACCCTCACACACACACCCTTACACACACACCCTTACACACACACCTTACACACACACACAACACACACACAAAACACACACACACCACACACAACAACACACACAATCGCACAATCGCACACACGCACACACGCACACACATACACAACACATACACACACACATACACACACACATACACACACACACACCATACACCCACACACAAACACACACACATACACATACAGCCTCCCTCACAACTTTCTATAGAAGCCTCCCAACCAGGTCAACCCCAGTGCAACCAAACACTCTAAATCAAAACACCCATGCCACATCCAATGCCCCCACCCACTACATTACAAACTTCACCCCCACAGCAACAACCCATAGTTCCTTACCAGGTCTCCCACTTCCCCAACCCCAATATACTTCCCAGACCACAGTCTTAGAAAAGAAGTTGAAGGTGTGGTATACAAATGCAGATGGAATAACAAACAAGTATGAGGAGTGGCACGAAAGAATCAAAGAGACATCCCCAGACATAATAGCACTCACAGAAACAAAACTCACCAGAATAATAACAGATTCAATCTTTCCATCCGGATATCAAATCTTCAGGAAAGACAGAGGGAGGAGAGGGGAGGAGGAGTTGCACTGCTCATTAAAAACCAGTGGGGTTTTGAGAAAATGGAAGGAATGGATGGCATGGGCGAAAGGGACTACTTAGTAGGAACAATCCAGTCTGAGGGACATAAGGTGATAATTGCAGTAATGTACAACCCACCACAGAACTGCAGGAGGCCAAGAGAAGAATACGATGAGAGCAACAGAGCAATGATCAACACACTAGCCGAGGTGGCCAGGAGAGCACACATGGGGGGAGCAAAGTTACTAGTTATGGGTGATTTCAATCACAAGGAGATTGACTGGGAAAACCTGGAGCCCCATGGGGTCCCGAAACATGGAGAGCCAAGATGATGGATGTGGTACTGGAGAACCTCATGCATCAACATGTTAGAGACACTACCAGAGAGAGAGGAGAGGATGAACCAGCAAGGTTGGACCTTGTATTCACCATGAGTAGTTCGGACATCGAGGGTATCATGTATGAAAGGCCCCTGGGAGCTAGTGATCATGTGGTTCTGTGCTTCGACTACATAGTTGAGCTCCAAGTGGAGAGAGTAGCAGAAATAGGCTGGGAAAAACCAAACTACAAAAGGGGGAACTACTCAGGCATGAGGAACTTCCTTCAAGACATTCAGTGGGAGAGGGAACTGACAGGAAAACCAGTACAAGAAATGATGGACTATGTAGCAACAAAATGCAAGGAGGCAGAGGAGAGGTTTGTTCCCAAGGGAAACAGAAATAATGGGAAGAACAGAACGAGTCCTTGGTTCACCCAAAGGTGTAGGGAGGCAAAAACTAGGTGTAATAGAGAATGGAAAAGGTACAGAAGACAGAGAACTCAGGAAAATAAAGAAATCAGCCGAAGAGCCAGAAACGAATATGCACTGATAAGAAGGGAGGCTCAGAGACAATATGAAAATGACATAGCATCAAAAGTAAAGACTGACCCGAAGCTGTTGTACAGCCACATCAGGAGGAAAACAACAGTCAAGGACCAGGTAATCAGACTGAGGAAGGGTGATGGGGAATTCACAAGAAACGACCGAGAGGTATGTCAGGAGCTCAACACAAGATTTAAAGAGGTATTTACAGTGGAAACCAGTAGGACTCCAAGAAATCAGAACAGGGGGGCACACCAGCAAGTGCTGGATGAGGTACATATAACCAAGGAGGAGGTGAAGAAGCTGCTATGCGAACTTGACACCTCAAAGGCGGTGGGACCAGACAACATCTCTCCATGGGTCCTTAAAGAGGGAGCAGAGATATTGTGTGAGCCATTAACAAAGATCTTCAACACATCATTTGAAACTGGGCAACTCCCTGAGGTATGGAAAATGGCAAATGTAGTCCCAATTTTTAAAAAGGGAGACAGACATGAGGCACTAAACTACAGACCTGTATCTCTAACGTGTATAGTATGCAAGGTCATGGAGAAGATCATCAGGAGGAGAGTGGTGGGGCACCTGGAAAGAAACAAGTGTATAATTGACAACCAGCACGGTTTCAGGGAAGGAAAATCCTGTGTCACAAACCTACTAGAGTTTTATGACAAGGTGACAGAAGTAAGACAAGAGAGAGAGGGGTGGATCGACTGCGTATTTTTGGACTGCAAGAAGGCTTTCGACACAGTTCCTCACAAGAGGTTACTGCAAAAGCTAGAGGACCAGGCACACATAACAGGAAAGGCACTGCAATGGATCAGAGAATATCTGACAGGGAGGAAACAACGAGTCATGGTACGCGACGAGGTGTCAGAGTGGGCGCCTGTGACAAGCGGGGTTCCACAGGGGTCAGTCCTAGGACCTGTGCTGTTCTTGGTATACGTGAACGACATAACGGAAGGGATAGACTCAGAAGTGTCCTTGTTTGCAGACGATGTGAAGTTAATGAGAAGAATCGAATCGGACGAGGATCAGGCAGGACTACAAAGAGATCTGGACAGGCTACAAGCCTGGTCCAGCAACTGGCTCCTAGAATTTAACCCTGCCAAATGCAAAGTCATGAAGATTGGGGAAGGGCAAAGAAGACCGCAGACACAATATAGTTTAGATGGCCAAAGACTGCAAACCTCACTAAAGGAAAAAGATCTGGGGTGAGTATAACACCGAGCATATCTCCTGAGGCGCACATCAATCAGATAACTGCTGCAGCATACGGGCGCCTGGCAAACCTACGGATAGCGTTCCGATACCTCAGTAAGGATTCGTTTAAGACTCTGTACACCATCTACGTCAGGCCCATACTGGAGTATGCAGCACCAGTTTGGAATCCACACCTAGTCAAGCACGTCAAGAAATTAGAGAAAGTGCAAAGGTTTGCAACAAGACTAGTCCCAGAGCTACGGGGATTGTCCTATGAAGAAAGGTTGAGGGAAATCGGCCTGACGACACTGGAGGCCAGGAGGGTCAGGGGAGACATGATAACGACATATAAAATACTGCGCGGAATAGACGAGGTGGACAAAGACGGGATGTTCCAGAGATGGGACACAGACACAAGAGGTCACAATTGGAAGTTGAAGACTCAGATGAATCAAAGGGATGTTAGGAAGTATTTCTTCAGTCATAGAGTAGTCAGGCCATGGAATAGCCTAGAAAGTGATGTGGTGGAGGCAGGAACCATACATAGTTTTAAGGCGAGGTATGATAGAGCTCATGGGGCAGGGAGAGAGAGGACCTAGTAGCAATCAGCGAAGAGGCGGGGCCAGGAGCTGTGACTCGACCCCTGCAACCACAAATAGGTGAGTACAAATAGGTGAGTACACACAATCACACACCCACAATCACTCACGCACACCACACATACACGCGCGCGCGCACACACACACACACACAGTCATAGAGTTGTAAGGCAGTGGAATAGCCTAGAAAATGACGTAGTGGAGGCAGGAACCATACACAGTTTTAAGACGAGGTTTGATAAAGCTCATGGAGCGGGGAGAGAGAGGGCCTAGTAGCAACCGGTGAAGAGGCGGGGCCAGGAGCTAGGACTCGTCCCCTGCAACCACAAATAGGTGAGTACAAATAGGTGAGTACACACACACACACACACACACACACTTCAGCCTCTGCCTCCTTACGCTTTTTCAGATTCTGCCTCTTGAGCCTCTGGAGGCAGGTTGGTAGATTCTCTTATTGACAAGTGTAAATAAATTGAGAAGAGCTATATGCATTCTTCCATTATTTATAATAACAGGGCTCCCTATTGTTGTTGTTTTATTGCAGTGTCAGGGCACACATTACTAAACACAACTTTAAATATATCTTGTACTTGCATATATCTTCTCAGAATGCGAGACAGAACTGGTAAAAAAATAATTTTCCGTTAACGTAGCCAGTGTTCTCCCCCTCAGGTGAAGGTGGACTCCAACGGTGTGCCCATCCAGATCGAGCCCAGTGCCTTCACTGTGACGCTGGGCTGCCCCCAGCATGCCCACGCTGAAGCCAAGGATCACACCGACACCCTGCCTCGCCAGGGGCACACGCATGCTGAACACACACACAGGCATCAAGAGAACATCATGGAGAAGCCAACGAGTGAGGATGCTCAGGAAGGGAATAAGAACGAGAGAGTAGGACAACAGAGTGAAGGGGTGAGGATAGAAAACAATGGGGAGGTAGGGGAATCTCAGTCAACGGCTTGTGTGATACCAGTGAAGGAAAATAAAGAATATAGTGAGGTAGATGAAGACACGAAGCAGCAGCTGCAGCAAGATGGTGGTGCTGGAATACAGCAGCAGCTGGAAGAGGGGAAAGGTGGTACTGGAACCCATTACCAACATATGCAGAAGCAGGAGGGAGAGGCTAGTGCTGCAACACTCCACCAGCTCAACACTGCCTCTATTTCAGCCGGTGACGTGTGTTCGATGTCTTCCCCAGCGTGTGAGGGAGGCGAGGCAGGCGGACCCAGAGCTCAAGTGACAGGTGCGACGGAGCACCTACTGGGGAAGGTGCAGGGGGCGGTAATGGCAACTACCCACCAGACTCACAGTGTAGTGCTGGAAAGAGCCATGAAAAACAAGAGTGTTAAGGGGAGCAGGGTGTTGGCGAATGTTGTGTCGCTCTCGGTAGGCGCTGGCGAACTGCAGGCCAAGCCCCTGGAAGATGACGAAGACGAGGAAGAGGAAGAGGAGGAGGAAGAGGAAGATATGCTGACGAAGGAATCAGAAGAAGGCTCAGATTCCAACGACTCTCAGGTACTACTGGTGTCATCATCATCGTCTTGTGTGTAACCCTCTCTGTCACTGTCAGTATTTGTATATCCGGTTATAAATGTTACCACACTATACTTTATTTAATATTAAGCAGAATTCACACTGGGTAGAGGTCAGTATTGGACCGTCTGTGCCCAGAGCTTTTTATTTATTGTTTACTTTATTACTCGATTGTTGGAGTATTGAGATGATTGACGGCGTGATGACAGAAGGCTACAGCCAGTGTGTGACTCCTGATTGCTGCCCGTACTGTGGAATAATAGTTATATTGTTTGAGAGTTAGGTTAGACGTGCGCTCTTGAAAACAATGTAGACACCTCACATGGGCACCTGCTTAATCCCTGCCCTCCCCCCCCCCGGAGTGGAAGGGCAGTGCCCCACAGTCACGTCTGTGGCACAACACTGAGCATGTACACTGTACTTCCTCCAGGGGATATTCATTACTACTACACCCTGGATGTTATAGCCAAGTATTTGTTTTCAAGAGAATTTACAGACTTCCCACCTCCCCCCTCTCTCTCTCTCTCTCTCTCTCTCTCTCTCTCTCTCTCTCTCTGCCACATCTTTCACTCCTACTTTCTCTCGCTGTCGTAATAACTTTATATAACTGTTCTGTTTTTTTTAGTTTCATTCTTGTCTTCATCTTCTTTATTATTTTCTCACCCTCCTTATCTTCCCCCTCCCTTAGCACCCGGTATTCTTCTCTCTTACCTCTCCCTTCTTCTCTTCCTCGTTTTTCATATTATGTCTCCTTTCTTCTCCCTTTCTGTCTCCCTCTCCCGTGTGTTCTCTCGGGGCATCACCAGGGTCAAGTGTGAGAACAGAATTGTGATCTTTTGGTGTTCAGTGCCACCACACCTGGTCTTGGTGTTCAGTGCCACCACACACCTGGTCTTGGTGTTCAGTGCCACCACACACCTGGTCTTGGTGTTCAGTGCCACCACACACCTGGTCTTGGTGTTCAGTGCCACCACACACCTGGTCTTGGTGTTCAGTGCCACCACACACCTGGTCTTGGTGTTCAGTGCCATCACACACCTGGTCTTTACTGACCTATCCTGTGGTAAGGAAAGTGAGGGGGTAAGGGAAGAGTGAGAGGATAGGGGGAGAGTGAGGGGTGGGTAGGGGATTGAGGGGTAGGGGGAGTGTGGGGGGTAGGGAAGAGTGAGGAGCGGGTAGGGAGAGTGAGGGGGTAGGGAGAGTGAGTGGGCCGGTAGGAAATTGAGGGAGGAAGGAAAGGGGATAAGTAGGGTGAGGGGGGAGAAGCAGAAGTCAGGTGGAGGAAGAGAGGGAGATAAGTGGGTAAGAAAGAGGGGTGGAGGGTAAGTGCAAGGCGAAGAATAGAGTGGAGGAAAATGTAGGAACAAATGGAAGGAGTGTGTATTTTTTATAAATATGATGGAGGAGGGAGAGAGAGAGAGAGATGGAGGGAGGGAGAATAATCATAGAAACACAGCAAATCACTAACAGACTGTACAAATAACAGAACCAGCGATGACCCCCTCCCCTTCCTCTCTCTCTCTCTCACTGAAGTAGCCAGGACCACAAAGATTTACCAAGAGAAGGAAGGGAAGGCGAAGTGGAAGAATAATTGGGTGGGGGGGTGGAAGAGTGGAAAGGAAGGTCATCAACCTGTTGGTCATAAACAAACACGACTACATGTTTAGAAAACCCTCTCCAGTGTTCCTCTCCTCCCCCCCTTTCTCTCTCTCTCTCTCTCTCTCTCTCTCTCTCTCTCTCTCTCTCTCTCTCTCTCTCTCTCTCTCTCTCTCTCTCCCTCCCTCCTCCTCTCTCTCTCTCCCTCCCTCTCTCCTTCTCTCTCTCCCTCCCTCCCTCCTTTCCCCCTCTGTCCTCCTTTCTCTCTCCTTCCCTTTTGCCTTCCTCACCCTCCCTCTTCTCCCCTTCTTCCACCCTCACCCTCCTGGTGGCCCCAACACCAGTGTGAGGTCTTAATGAGTTTGTACCCAGAGAAGTTTTCCCCATTTTCCCATTTTTTTCCTCTTGGGGTTACACCTGTCTACCAGACTAGGGATCATTTATTTATGCCACTTTGTCTGCCGCTCTGCCTGACTATCTGCCTCTCTGCCTGATTGTCTGCCAGTCTGTTTGCTCACCTAGCCATCACAGCCTGGCTGATTCAGCACTCATAACTGGAAGACATCACAGACAGAGGTTGGAGGTGTTGTGACAGCTGGGACCATCACAGACAGGCACAGACACAGAGGCTGGCAGTGTTGTGACAGCTGGACCGTCACAGAGGTTGGCAGTGTTGTGACAGCTGGACCGTCACAGAGGTTGGTAGTGTTGTGACAGCTGGACCGTCACAGAGGTTGGCAGTGTTGTGACAGCTGACCGTCACAGAGGTTGGCAGTGTTGTGACAGCTGGACCGTCACAGAGGTTGGTAATGTTGTGACAGCTGGACCGTCACAGAGGTTGGCAGTGTTGTGACAGCTGGACCGTCACAGAGGTTGGCAGTGTTGTGACAGCTGGACCGTCACAGAGGTTGGCAGTGTTGTGACAGCTGGACCGTCACAGAGGTTGGTAGTGTTGTGACAGCTGGACCGTCACAGAGGTTGGCAGTGTTGTGACAGCTGGACCGTCACAGAGGTTGGTAGTGTTGTGACAGCTGGACCGTCACAGAGGTTGGCAGTGTTGTGACAGCTGGACCGTCACAGAGGTTGGCAGTGTTGTGACAGCTGGACCGTCACAGAGGCTGGCAGTGTTGTGACAGCTGGACCGTCACAGAGGTTGGCAGTGTTGTGACAGCTGGACCGTCACAGAGGTTGGCAGTGTTGTGACAGCTGGACCGTCACAGAGGCTGGCAGTGTTGTGACAGCTGGCCGTCACAGAGGTTGGCAGTGTTGTGACAGCTGGACCGTCACAGAGGTTGGCAGTGTTGTGACAGCTGGACCGTCACAAAGACATAATGGCCTGGTACATAAACACTTCTTCTGTCACCCCGACCACGTGTGAAGCACAGGGTCGGGGGGACGAGAAGAGAGAGAGAGAGAGAGAGAGAGAGAGAGAGAGAGAGAGAGAGGAGGAGGAGGAGGAGGAGGAGGAGGAGGAGGAGGAGGAGCGGATTAGGGTGAGAGAAGAGAGGGATGGGAGATGGAGAGTACGGAAGAGAGAAATAAGTGGAAAGGAAGAGAGGATCAAATAGGAAGGAAAGGAAGAGAGGATCAAATAGGAAGGAAAGGAAGAGAGGATCAAATAGGAAGGAAAGGAAGAGAGGATCAAATAAGAAGGGAAGGAGAAGCTCAAATAGGAAATAAAGGAGGAGAGGAAGAGGTAGGTAGATAGGCAGACATGCAGTCTACGGTACCTACACTCCTGATTTAACTATCCTTCTTAAAAATTAACTTATTCTCCCTGCCTCACATTGTCTCCTTTTTCCTTTCTCTTCCACTCTCTACCTCCATTCTCCAAATTTCCGTCTTTATGTCCCTTAATCCGTCCCTCATATTTTCTTTTCTATCCCTCGCTTCTCCCCTCCCCCTCTCTTCTCCCCTCCCCCTCTCTTCCCCTCCCACTCATTTTTGCCGCCCTCTCCTCTCATTAGTATTTTTCTTATTTTTGCATAACTTTCACTATTTACTGCTTCTTCCTTATTCCTCCTCTCTTCTTGCTGCTGTCTCCACCTTCGCTAGCACCAGTACCACTATTATTACTACTACTGCTATTACTTCCACTATTAGTATCACTATTGTTACTATTACCTTTACTTCTATTAGTATTACTTTCACAACTATTACTATACTACTGCTATTACTTTTATTATTACTACCACTATTACTACTGTTACTACTATTACTACTACTATTACTGCTACTACTATTACTATATTACTACTACTACTATTACTACTGCTACTATTACTACTACTACTATTACTACTACTACTATTACTACTACTATTACTACTATTACTACTACTACTATTACTATACTACTATTACTACTACTATTACTACTGCTACTATTACTACTACTATTACTACTGCTACTATTACTACTATTACTACTGCTACTATTACTACTATTACTACTACTACTATTACTACTATTACTACTACTATTACTACTACTACTATTACTACTACTATTACTACTACTACTATTACTACTACTACTACTACTACTATTACTATTACTACTACTACTATTACTACTACTATTACTACTACTATTACTACTGCTACTATTACTATTACTACTACTACTATTACTACTATTACTACTACTACTATTACTACTATTACTACTACTGCTATTAATACTACTATTAATACTACTATTGCTACTATTTCTACTATTACTATACTATTATTACTACTACTGTTACTACTGTTACTACTACTATTACTACTACCACTATTACTATTACTATTACTACTACCACTATTACTATTACTACTACTATTACTACTGTTACTACTACTGTTACTACTACTACTACTGTTACTACTACTACTGTTACTACTACTATTACTAAAACTATTACTACTACTACTATTACTATACTATTACTACTACTATTACTACTATTACTACTACTATTACTACTACTACTACTGTTACTACTACTACTACTACTACTGTTACTGCTACTACTGTTACTACAACTACTGTTACTACTACTACTGTTACTACTACTACTGTTACTACCACTATTACTACTACTACTATTACTACTATTACTATTACTACTACTACTATTACTACTACTACTATTACTACTACTATTACTGTTACTACTACTACTGTTACTACTACTACTGTTACTACTACTACTGTTACTATTACTACGACTATTACTACTACTATTACTATACTATTACTACTACTACTATTACTACTACTACTATTACTACTATTACTACTACTATTACTGCTATTACTATTACTATTACTACCACTATTACTACTACTATTACTACTACTACTATTACTGTTACTACTACTACTGTTACTACTATTA